TTGGCATGGGGGTAAATTGTAAGGAAGTCAGACGTGCCATACATTTTGGTCCATCTAAAAACCTAGAACAGTATGTCCAAGAATCTGGAAGAGCAGGGAGGGATGGAAAGAGCAGCACATGTACTATCCTTTATAATGGTCTACTGGCAGCATATTGTGAGAAAGATATGAAAGAATTCCTGCAGTCCGACAGATGCCGACGCCATGAACTAATGAGGAACTTTAGTGACTATGCCTGTGTTGAAGTTAACCCTGCTCACAATTGTTGTGATGTATGTGCAAGTAATTGTGATTGTAACAGTTCAGAGTGTAGAATGAATTGGTGTTTGCTTACCCCAGACAGCCACCTAGAAATCGATGATTTGTGTATGGCAACCAGTAATGACGATAACCCACAAACTCGACATGTTAATGAACACCATAAGCAAGAACTTATACAGAGGTTGTTAGAACTCCAAAAAAAGTTGGCTAACAGACTAGATGCCAAGAAATATGTTTCATGTCCAAATGTGTTGATGGAATTTAACAAATTCCATATTAAGCAAGTGGCAAACAATTGTCACTTATTGTTTTGCTTGGATGATGTTCTTGAACACATTGAAATTTGGCGACATCAGTATGCCTGTGTCATACTTCAAGTAATTTCCGAAGTTTTTGGTGATATTGAGTATGCATATTCAGATGCAGATTTAAGTATTGAAAACATTTCCATGCTTGATGAATCGATCAATTCTGTGTGGAATGAACTCAGAGAGGACTCTTCATTTAATAGCATGTTTGACAGTCTAAATGTAACTGCTGATGACACTACAGATGACTGCAATGACATGTCTGACACTGAGTCAAACCATTCTGGTAACAATAGTCTATTTCAAATGTTAGTTGATTAGGGTTATTGTATATTAAGTGTACACTGTATATTGCATTGGGGATCTTTAACTTCAATATATCCACACCATCAGTGATCCACACATACAGATGTGAAGTCCATGTAATAGTTATAAAATGATTTTGGTTTACAAAATCGTATACATTCATACCTTCAATTATACCCTTTTCAAAAATTAACACATTGAACTATAATGTGCCCTAATGTACTTTACTTTTGTGGTGTGTCTAATCCCAGACAATTTTACTTATCAAGGAAGAAGTTGGGTGTTAAAGCACTTCAGCATTACTTTTATAATTAAAATTGTATGGGAATTTATAGTCAGATAAAAGTTTTAAAATTGCATTGCTTTTGGACATGTGTCATAAGAATAACATTTTCCAGGCATGCATATGTATATACCTGTACATATATTATTTGTAATACTGTAATAATCATAAATATTTACATAGTTATATATAGTAAAACAATACCTATAAACTTTGATATATAATATACATATTTACGTAGAAAGAAATTGTGCACTTACAACATCTTTCAAGTACACTATAATAGGTTTACCCATTGTTTCTCCATATACCTTTTTAATTAACCCATTGAGCGGCAGCACTCTACGCTTACAAGTAAAATTATCTGGCGTTAGACAGAGTAAAATAGTGCGCATTGCCACTTAGTCTTAAAGGGTTATGTGATGACTAAACCAGATTTGGTACTGGACTAGATTTTAAGTATGTGTAATTTGATCCAGTCCAAGGTAATTTGGCCCAGTCTTAGAAGACTGGGTCAAATTGCAAGGACTTGTAATCTAGTCCAGTCCAAATTGGAAGTTTTGGAATAACATCTCAAATCATTAATAATTCATGAGTAAATTAGTCCATATTGCTTTATTTTGCTCACATGATAATATTGGATACCTGGTGAAGTATATTGATCCAGTCCTAGGACTTACTTTAAGTAGTCATTAATCCTATTTTAGTCCTTACTTTAAGTAGGACTTACTTTAAGTAGTCCTATGATTTAATTTAAGTAGTGATTTATTCATATGACTGATATGAGATGTCATTTCAAATTCCCTTTTAATATTTGGACTGGACAAGATTTATTGTTCTCGCATTTTGATCCAGTCCTCAGCTTTGCCTCGGACTAGATCAAATTGTGCGGACTTAAAATCTAGGCCAGTCCTCATAGTTGGATTTGAAATAATACCTCAAATGAGCAAATCAGTACTTAAAGTAAGTTGAATTAATTTTGATCCAGTCCTAAGGACTGGACCAATGCATGTCAATACTCAGCTAAATTACCTAGCTCTTCTATGTAGAACAAGATTTTCCTTATGTTCGTTTATCCAACTAAACAGTTTTTGTAAATCCAAACCATGTAGAAGACTTTGCTTCATATTTTTAAAATGGTGGTATCTTCTTCCTTCGGTCATATAGAATGCTCTTTCATGGAGAAGTTCATCTACAATCTTTAACAAATCATTCTGTGATGATGTAGTGATGTGCTTGCCAGATCTTCTGTACACAGAAAGTTCATGGTCAAACTGTTTCATTAACTCGTTTGTTATACCCATAGAATGTGCAATTCTATTTAGAGATGTTTTAGAAGCATTTGGACCAACATTCTTGACAGCTGCCTTCATCATTCGGTTATAGAACTCCAGCTGAAGATCAAGTGGTATGTTGCCACCAAGACCATTTTTAGTCTTCACTGACCGGTTCCAAATCAATCGTTGAGCAGCTTGTGGACTTAGAAGAACATTGATTTGACACAACAGGTATAAAGCCTCAAGAGAATACTTTACAGTTGACTGCCCTTCTGCTCGAAGATACAACAAAAAGAATCGCCAGCATCTCATTATGCGTTCACCATCCCCTTCTGATATGGCGTCCCAAAAGTTCAGAATGAGCATGCCATACTCCAGCAGTGCCTTTTGATAGGAGAACATGTCATCCTGTTCTTCGTCAGATAAAGTGGTATCTACAACAACAGACTGTTCAATGATCTCCAATATTGGTGGATTATGGTTTGCCTCATGATCCTTCATTCTCTTGCCATACTTTGCAAAGGATTTTTGACAACCCTCATATCGACACCGATATCTATTGTTGTCATCCAATGACAATGCCTTAGCTTTCTCGCAAAGATTGATGCTGTCCAAGCATTCAAGAATCCGCTCATTCTTGCTTTCATCAATGACAAACATGTCAACAACCTTGGCACATACAAATTCAAGATAATTCTTCTTATCTTCTTTTGAGGACTCATCCCCTGGAAAAGGTATGCCTGGTTCTTCTTCTAAGTTAGCCATGTTCAACACTTTCAACGTGGCAGCAATGACACGAGCGTGGACCTCCAGAGTGAAGAACTGTCGACAAGGGTTGACTGCAGAGGACACGTCACTTTTCACATTCCGTCTATTGATGAGTGTACGATCGGCATACAGTGTACATTTGTCATAACCAGATGATGCGCTGTAAAGGTTCTGAAACGCCAACTGTAAAAAGACATATAATAATATAAAATGCAGTGTCATAATAGCTTGTTGATCTTTCGACTGTGTGATTATTATGATAACTGCACTCAGTCCCCCTAAACATTGTCCACTAACATCAGTCAATTGACAACATTCGCAGACATTTAGAAGGCACTGCATACATTTTCTCCAGTATTTAACAAAAAAATTGATTTAGTATATTATACCTGTAAGAATCTATTTCCAGAATGCCAGTCTGCAACCTCAGCATGAAGGCCAGTGCACTGTTCCTTCTCTGTAAATCCATTTGCAATAGACGCATGACCATTTACAAATCTCTCCACAGTGAGCTGATCCCCAACAATCCCTTGTTCTCCATACTTGCCATCAGTCCCATCTTCATTCTGACCATGAGGAACATACTGGTGTAATTCTTTGATTACATTGGTGATGCCATCAGCGTCATTTTCGTTTTCATAAATTAGACCCATGAATGTCTAAAAATTCGATATTTAATATTATGTACATGATTAGACGTGATTACATAAGAATAACAAATAGTTTGATTGCTATTGCTACAGAAGGTACTTTGTCCCATCTCTAATAATTGACTGACTGAACAGCAGAGGCATAGGAAGCTTAGAAAAGTTGGGGGGGGGGGCAGGCTTTGAGGGGAACTTTCCAAAAAAAAGGGCATCTCAAAATTTTTTTGGCGACCCCCCCCCCCAAATTTCGGTCAGTGTACCATTTTAAGGGTTAGGGTTAACCATATTTCTTCTTAAATACAAAAAAATTTTCTGAACAGCCTTCAGTTGATGAGCTTTTTCCAAGCTTCATCACAATGTTTGGAAACATGGAAGACTTAAAATAATTTCTAAGCTCTATCTAATAATTAACCCTTTCAGTGGCAATGTGTCCCACTTTATTATTTTACTCTGTCTAACGCCAGACGATTTACTTGTCAGGGGGAGAGTCTGAGTGCTGCCACTCAATGGGTTAATTTATTATAATTATGTACAGTATGTCGTCAAAAGTAGCTAGGGTAACTGTACCGGAAGTAAATGGTACGATTTAGTTCTAGGAAGAGTATATGTATCATGTTTTCTTTTGTGAGCGACCTTTTTGAGATTTGTGAGTATTAAAACATTATTTTTGGTTTGTGATTTATGATTTATTGTGATCGTGGGGGGACATCGAACAACATTCCCAACAAATATGTTATAAAATGTATTATTTTGTATTGGTATATTTGGGACTATAAAATTTTATTTTATTTGAAGCTAAAGTTTCATATTAAATACTTAAGGGTAATAGGATCAGGCTACCTTGAAATTAGTAACAAGAACAAAATTTTAGATGACATCAGGTCCTTTGATTGGAACATAAAGTTCTTGTGACAATTTTAATGTTGTTTGATCCTATTATCCCTCAAGTATATTGTTCATTGCTACCTACAATGAAATATTGCTACCTACTGTACAATGAAATCCCAAGCTCAAAATGGTGCATAAAATCTAACCATTATGCAGCAAAAATGCAGTAACTGTTTTTCTCTTTCTCTAACTAATGGAATACATCAATACAATCTTAGTCACCAAGGGTTAATCTTGTGCATTTAGCTTCTACAGAGAACTAAACATGTAACAATACAAGTAACCTATACTATAACTTACCCTAACAATCCGAAGTGCATTGTTGTTGTTATCGCTACCAACACTGGCACATACTGTTCAAGGTTATTATAACTAAAAATGTACTCTGTCCAGTAAATCTACTTACAGTATTCGTCTTCTTTGCCATTTGCGAACTGTATTTGTGTGGTATATGAGATGTGACAACATCAGCCAAGAATTTCAGACATGGTATATTAGCCACAAGTATTCGACCAACTAAAGTAATGAAATTCTTTCTCTGCAATTGGTGGTCATCATCACTTGGTATGAATTTTCCATTCTCAAGCTTCATAATTCCATCTTCTTTCTTCTGGTCACTGAAGTCTACAGCTCCAATTCTGTTCTCAGTTGACATCACAGTGACATGATGAACATCGATGTTCTGATGCTCTTCTGTCATATGGTGCACATTTTGCCGGTAATCAAAATTGTCAATTGTGATTTTCCGCCCATGGTCACATGATTGTTGGTCATCAGACTCCACCACTTCAGGATTCCTTTTCAGAAACAGGCATTGATTCTCAACAGCATTTAATATTTCATCACGATACCCAGCTCCATATTCGTCCAGCTTTTTATACAAATATGTATGTGATGTTGTTATTCGTAATGAGGCCAGTCGTGCAAGGGTTGCCTAAATAATTTATAATATATACAATTTTGCACACTTATTGGATCATTCAACTATTCTATTTTTCATGTAGCTACATCGCACATCAAAGCTGCATGCAAGCATACTCTATTCTTCACTACCTACATTGGCACGTCACAGTCAAGATTATAATTCAGATAACATTAACCAACTAATCCACAATTATATTTTGTTATAATAAATCAGTTGTCAGTTGTAACTCCCAATCTTAGGGAAAGCTGAAGACGCAGAATTTTAAACCCCAAGGGCCAAGACCCCCCCCCCCACACTCAGGCAAACTGTGCTAAATAATAATAATAATTAATTATAATAATAATAATAAAGACTTTATTTGAATCAATACACATGACACTAATATTAGTAATAACACCAAAATATTCTAAAATAATATGTATAGTATTAAAAATGAAAATAGATATACACACCTGCCATCCAGAGTGGTAGTTGAATATTGTAATTAATAATTGTAGCGCATTCATAAATCTTGACCTGTTTCTCAGGCAAACTGCTGCAGCCATACCAACAGCAGGTGACCAAAATGTTTCAATATTTAAGCCATTCTTGTTTGCCCTGGATCTACTTCGAGGGTTCACAGAAGCAGCAACTAACACGGAAAATGTCAATGGGGCTCTTTCCTTCAGTTCCTTGTTAAAATGTTCGATTGAAAATTTCAACATATTTTCCTTGTTCGGGCTCCTTAGACAGCTTGGATTTTTCCTTGAGCAAAGATCAGAACATTCTCGGTTTATGTCATTTAACATTAACAGTTGGAGTTGTTTCTTGATGCTTGTGTTCTTCCATGCTGCGTTCGCTATCTGTTTGTATGTTCCTCGTACAAGCATTTTTCCTAGCGACTCTAGATCACCTGGCAACTTTCGTTCAGCATTTTTACTGGGCCACTCAACTTTCACATACACATTCGTAGATTTAGGGCCCTCTTCTGAGTTTTCTCTATGCTTAATTGGGGACACAGGCCATTGTGGAGGTATATTATCTGGACGTACAGGTGAACTGCAACGAGAACTGGAAGATGGCCGCTCTATCGTTTCTGTGCTTGTACTAGGCGAGCGTTCACCCTCATTTCCACAATGTATTTTAATACCAACACTGTCCAAACTGATATCACTTGTTCTTTTTAGCGAAGAGCTTGACGAACACGTTGATTTAGTTTGAATAGTGCGATAAAACTCGTCGATACACTCAATTTGTGTGATGAGGTTTCTTCGTTTCTTCAGCTTTTTAACACATCCAGCGCAGATAAAAGGACTCACTCTTTCTACTTTGAAAGAAAAACTTTCCAGTTCAGGAATTACTTTGAAAGCTCCTTTACCTTCGACACGATGCTTTTCATTAATTTTCACAATAACATTCAAACACAATATCCAAATGTCCGACATGTCATCCACATACTATTCTTTCATGCGCACATGTTGCATAATTATGAAATCACAATCTAAATAATTTTCCGCTGGCTCATCCGATGCATAATTTGCATATATTATAGAACACGTAACCTGGCACTAATGCACAGACGCTACTTAGCGCCCCCATTTCCGCCCACGAGCGTCTGTGATGCAGGCTAGTATTTAAGCGAAGAGACATATTATTGGTTTTTATTTGTTCAAATTCTAGGACAATATTCAATATTCTTTATACATATCGATATGCCCTCTTTGGATAAAACGCGGATATGGCTTAAAAAAGGCTGAAAAACGTTTTTTGAACCATATCCGCGTTTTATCCTTTTGGATACCCTTTTGGATAAAACGCGGATATGGCTTAAAAAAGGCTGAAAAACGTTTTTGGACCATATCCGCGTTTTATCCTTTTGGATAAAACGCGGATATGACTTAAAAAAGGCTGAAAAACGTTTTTTGGACCATATCCGCGTTTTATCCTTTTGGATAAAACGCGGATATGACTTAAAAAAGGCTGAAAAACGTATTTTGGACCATATCCGCGTTTTATCCTTTTGGATAAAACGCGGATATGGCTTAAAAAAGAGCTGAAAAACGTTTTTGGACCATATCCGCGTTTTATCCTTTTGGATAAAACGCGGATATGACTTAAAAAAGGCTGAAAAACGTTTTTTGGACCATATCCGCGTTTTATCCTTTTGGATAAAACGCGGATATGACTTAAAAAAGGCTGAAAAACGTTTTTTGGAAGCCATCCGTCCGTCCGTCCGTCCGCCACTCATCCGTCCGTCCGTCCGCCATCCATCCGTCCGTCCGTATCCGCGTTTTATCCTAACCCAAATTGTCTGAGCCTTTTGACTCGCAAGCACTCGCAATGTGCGAGTGGCGAGTGCTTGCAAGTGAGATGAAATGCGAGTACTCGCGAGTAGCGAGTCAGAACGAGTACTCGCTAGTACTCGCTACGCGCGAGTGGAGGTACCCTTACTCGCGACAGGTACTGTAATAAAGGCTAAAGGTTATAACGCGTGTACCTAAAAGGTAAATAAAATCTCGGCCTGTTAGGCACACACGCGTTATAACCTGGAGCCTTCATTTTAAAACTTTATTATAATTGACAATCTAGCCTTTATTATAAAACTTTATTATAATCGACGATCTGCTGTAGCCCTTATTATATAATTGAAGCTGACACCACAGCCTTTAAGCTTTCTCTTAGCTGTTATATTATAGCCCGAGTTAGCAGCTTATTAGTGAAGACATTCTATACCGCGAATATTTTATTATTATTATTATTATTATTATTAATGTTAAACACTCCCAGAAGGGTTTTTCAGTGTTCAATACAGAAGTTATAAAAAGTAATTACTTAATTAAATTATATTCTAAAAACTATATAATATACTATTAACACCAAAATATATAATATCAAGCTAGTTATATTTAAGGTAAAATACTTATTAATACTATTTAATTTAAAATTTGGTCAGTAAAAGATGTAAATTAATTCAGTTCTGTTCATCGAGAAATTGTTGAACCAAATAACTTCGTAGCCCGCTTTTAAAACGTTCCAAATTAAGATTATGGTCTTTTAGCCATTCTGGCAAACTGTTCCATAAACAAGAAGCTCGGTAGCGAAAAGAACGTTGTCCGGTCGCTGTTTTATATAAAGGTATTTCCAATAATTCGCTAGATCTTGTGTTCAAATTGTGTAATTGTGATCTTGTTTGGAACATACGACATAAATATGATGGGGCCATACCATTAACACATTTATAAGCCATTACTGTATCTCGGAATCGCAACATATAATTGACTGATAACCAGTTAAGCTGTTTTAAAGATGGAGTGATATGGTCGAATTTTTTTGTGCCCGTGACAATACGTGCTGCGAAATTCTGAACTTTTTGCAATTTTGCAATGTTTTTCTTCGATGAATTAGACCATATGGTTGAACAGTAATAGAGTTTACTAAAAACCAACGCGTTTATTAAAAGAATTAACGTCTTCATACTTGGAGCTTTTTTAGAAGCAATACATGATCGATACTGTCAAATGCTTTAGAAAGGTCTAGTAGAATTACAGCTACGACCTCCTTGTCGTCCATAGACTTTAAGATCTTATCCGATATAAATAAATTCAATGTTTCAGTGGAGTGCAGCTTCCTGTTTCCACTTTGGTGTACCTTTAAGAATTTCTTCTGTTCCACATATGCGGTAAATTGTTCCAAAACTACACGCTCGCAGATCTTTGATGCAGCAAGTAGCAAGGAAATTGGCCGATTATTTTAAGCAATTTCGTGATCCCCTTCTTTTAATAGGGGAATAACTTCTGACAACTTCCAGGCGCTGGGAAACAAAGATTCTCTTAAAGAGCAGTTAACAATATCCGTAAGAGGTTGAAGAATGTATGGTAGGGCATCTTTGATCACTTTCACAGAAACTTTATCTGGTCCAGGGGACTTATTGGATGGAAAAGAACACACAATTTTACGAATCACGTCACAGGACACAGGGTGAAAATGAAACTTGTCAATTTCTGCACTAAATTTATGTGGTATCTCTGGATGAGTCGATGTAAGACCATATGAAGTAATCAACGCTTTGGATTCTTCTGCTGCTTTTGCTCCGACTGAAGAAAAGTATTCATTAAATTTGTTCGCTACTTCAACGACATTCCCAGAATAAGTTAAACGTGTTTTTTCATTTCTAGGAATACATTCTCTTACAGTTTTCCAAAGGGAGTTGTTGTTGCTATTTTTGTCATTAATTCTTTTATACACAAATTTTCTCTCGGATTCTCTCCATTTTCTTTTAATTTGATTTCTACATGAACGATATCTGTCCCAGTCCAAGGCCTGCAGGGTTTGGCGGGCAAGTTTATGCAGCGCATTTCTTTTTTTCATAAGTTGAACAATTTCCTGGTCAACAAAAGGGCACAAGCGACGTTTAATCTTAACAGTCTTTATCGGGACATGCATATCTAATACTCTTAGAAATTTCTGATTAAAATTGTCCAGTCGCTGGTCAACGCCCTGGTCAATTGGATTTTCTTGCCAAATCAGCTGTTCTAGATCATTTTTAAACGCTTCAGAAGAATAATTCTTAAAACTTCTTATGACCATGTAATCAGGTAATTTCTTAGGCAATTTAAGCTTTAATATTGAATAAACCAGAAAGTGGTCACTGATGTGCGTTTTTTCAACTCCACTTTCCACTACCAAGCTTGTGTTAGATGTTAAAATCACATCGATGAGAGATGAGGACTGCAAAGTCACCCTAGTTGGTTCCTTGATAAGTTGGAATAAATTCAAGCTGCTGCACAATTCGTTCAACGCATCAGATTCTGGACCACTTTTTAATAAGTTACAATTTAGATCACCCACTACGAATATATCTTTTTTCAAAATAAGTGCATATGAATAGTTGTCCATGAAATCGTCCACGAAACAGGAAACTGGACAGTCAGGAGGTCTATAAGCAACACATAGCACAATAGATTTCATTTTCTTATGTTGGATTAATATCCACAATTGATGAAAACCCGTTGATGAAATTACAGATATATCCTTTATAATCTTTGTTTTCAGTGAGTTACGAGTAAAAACACAAACACCACCTCCACGTTTACCAAGGCGATCCAACCGCAACAGTCTGTAACCTTCAATTTCAACTTCTGAATTTTTTACTGTGGAATTAAGCCATGATTCCGATATCGTTAAAATGTCGTACTGATGTTCGCCATTAAGTTCCCTCAACTGGACCAAATTATCTCTATTTTTCAGAGATCTGACATTCAAATGAGCGAGCTTTGGTTTTGAATTTGAGTGATTATGATTATTCGCGTTCTTTGTTAGAGAAGGACAGTCAATGGTTTTCTTATAATTTTTAATTACAATGCAGTTCTCTGCGTTATGTTGCTTATTACAAAACATTCCAGTAGAATAAACACTCTTCAAATTTAATGTACGCGTCGTAATTCTGACAGGTATCTGTTTTCTGTATCTGATGTTGGTTCGGAAGTTTTGACGTCGGTAGGTCCTTCACTAGTTCCGTTAGTCAGTATATTACCGGGGATCTCGTTGGTATTGACATCAAAGGAGGAGGATAAAGGGGAGGTTGGGGTGTGGGGTGGTATGTTGGGATCCGAAAAGGAGGAAAATAACAAGGATTCACAGGAAAAGGAGAATAGCGGAAAGCAGGTAAAAATGGGGATTGGCCCATTGGATTATGGAAGGGTCGTTGCATGTTGTTATGCGATTGGCGTTTTTGATGTGGGAAAGCTTGGCCCATTGAATTATGGTGGGGTCCTTGCATGTTACTATGAGATTGATGTTTTTGGTGTACGAAATCACACGCAGGACCTTTTTTACAGAAACCTCTTTTCTTCAGGAATGGACAAGGGGTTAAATGTTTTGGGTATTTGGATGGCGCTCGAATGGAATGATCAATAACGGGTCCAGAGGCGTTGCTATTAGTGCTATTTTGATGTGGGAAAGGCTGGCCCATTGAATTATGGTGGAGTCCTTGCATGTCACTATGAAATAGACGTTTTTGGTGTAGGAAATCACACACAGGACCTTTTTTACAGAACCCTCTTTTCTTCAGGAATAGACAAGGGGTTAAATGTTTTGAGTATTTGGATGGCGCTCGATTGGAATGATCAGTAACATATCCAGGAGCGTTGCTATTAGTTTCGTCCATTGTTGGTTTGGTTTTACTGGTTTTATCTAGTTTGGTTGCTTCGACTGATTTGCAGTTGTCAACAACCTCAATGACCGAAACGCTAGGTTGTTCGCTTACAGAAACGCTAGGTTGATCTTTTATTATAGTAGTTGACATGCACAACTGAACGAAAGCGTACGAATAGCCTCATTAACTGAACGACAAACGCGCTTAAACTCGCTTGCTTATTGGTCGAGACGAAAAATTATAAATTTTCGTCAGCTAAACGTATACGATCATCACATGACGTTCCAAAACAAAAGTACGTAAACAAGGGCAAATAATGTTAGCCAATCAGCGCGTTTGTTTACATTTTGCGTTCTTGACCAATCAGAATGCCTGAAATTCAAAACATGTAAACAAAAGGAGTGAGAAAATAACACCTTGTTCCACGCCCTCGGTGACATTCGATATTAAACTTTTTTCGCCAAAACTGACAAATTCTGCCAAAGCATGCTTTCTTCTTTAATTTCCTCGGGGGGATTTTTAAAATTCGATCTAGAACGCGAAATATTTATGTTTGAATAACAGTGTTTCAACGCGCGTAAAATAGCCGACTCTCACTTGCACTATCTTTACACACACATAAAAAATTGATAGATTTGGCAGTTTAAACTTATTTTTCCCACACCACAGCCGACATGTTTTTAAATATTACCTATGTGATCTCATCGATCTCATTTCGCATCGGAAATGCGTCACAACGATCCAGGACTGACAGGTACAATATCGCATGACTCATTACTGTACCAAAGATAATCTTTGACTGTACATTAAAAGTACATATCCGGTTGGCAAAATGGCGATTGTCTGACAGACCTTCGCGAAGGGCTTAATATTTTTGCTAATAAACTGTTCACGAGGGTTTCGTTCTGTTCGTCTTCTGGTTCGTCGTCAATCGTCATTGGCTGCCTCACTTTCTTGGTCGCTTTCGTCCTCTTCAAAGCAAGTCGCCGGGGCAATCAGCGTTACTATTCGCTGTCTTTCGAAGACCTTCCAAGAGCTTCAACATATGCCAACGTTGTTGCTTCACAAACTGGGCAATCGCTGATGTTGGGCAGGATGCATTCGATGTGGAACGTAGGTCCACAACCACGGAAAACGTTCCAAGTGGATTAACCTTTTCGCAGGCAGGCAAATCGCAGGTAAGACTTATATTTTATATTTACAGATCTTGATACATTTATAGTCAGCGTCCTTGGAGATTGTTCCAAAATATGAGTGTGTGCCAAAGTCAAAATATTACTCATAATCTCCAGAACATGTTTGGACAATGTTTTGAATCACTGCAGTTTAGAATTAGCAGTCGTTTTAAAGACAACAGAACTGGCAGCCATCATGGTACCCCATAACTATTCAGTGTACAATACCAGACAATGTAAATTACCACCTCCCCCAACCCAGAAGTAGGCAGTCTTTATTTCCCAGCACTGCATAATCAAAATTGCTGGATTGTATAAATGTCTGGCTTTGTCTCAGTGGCCCTGCTTTGCCCCATGATGAACCCCACACTTCCTAGATTCAAGCAAGCGGAGACTTATATTGACTGGTACTTAGGTCCTGTTTATACAATCTCGTACCCAGAGCAATGCCTGTGCGCGGGCTAGGATGGCATTGGCTCTGGGGAAATTGAATTTTTCCTGTGCTGTGATTGGTTTAACGTCTATCAATCATGCATGCCGACAAAGAACCGGAACCCCAGAATTTAGGGGTTCCGGTTTCAATTTCCCCAGAGCCAATGCCATCCTAGCCCGCGCACAGGCATTGCTCTGGGTACGAGATTGCTGTTTATATGGAAGCCGGGCTGGCCCGCTAAGTGAGACAGCCCGGTAAGCGAGATCTCGCTGTGTAGTTATTTTTATAGTAAAAATTATTGTTATATGGACAAGTGGGCTGGCCAGGTTGCCGAGATCTCACTTGAAAAGAGGTGAGATCTCGCTTACCGGAGTGGAAATTTCTCCATATAAACACTCACAAGCGGGCTAGCCCAGTTGCCGGGATGAAAGATACCGCCGCAAGCTATTTTTAACAACTGTCAAAACCAGCAAGCGGGATGAAATTTTCTCATATAAACAAGAGAAATTCATCCCACCTGCCTGTCTTGCTAAGCAGGCCAGCCCGGCTTCCAGCATATAAACAGGCCCTTAGTTGAATTGCAGCACTTGGTCTGCCTGTGTGTTACTTTTAAGTGTACCCTGGTTCTTTGCAAGGTAAAAGAAACAAGAG